GTTTATAAAATATGTATTTGCCTTTTAAAAAACCAAATCTTCAGTTAGTCCTGTCACAAATGTTCAGATTTAAATGGGTAAATTTCTTCACATTGCAAAAAGCAAAACGTGCCCTTGAAGAGGAAATTTTCAACCTGTCAAAAACTATTCCCCTTGTTTCATTCACAACAAATCTTAAGCATAGCAGAATCACTGAGAGGAACCAAGAACACAGTGGGCAAGGGAAACTTCACACCCCTGTATCCCATAGACACACATTTGACCATTCCGTGTACTTCAACAGCATCAGGACTCCGCAGGCGTGAAGGGCAGAGGGACAGACAGGAGATTCCCTGCTTTTGTACCCGGTGGCTACCCAAGTACCAGGAACAGTGCGTTTTAACTTCTAAGAGGCCTGGTGGCTAACAGCAAAGCACATCACTCTCTTTACATGCATTTCCATATTTCTGTTAGCATAACTTGCATCTCTTTGGTGGCAGGATATACAACATGTGGATCCCAAAAGATTGTGAGGCCTAAAGGTAGTTGAGCAGCAGAACAGCCAAGAGAACAAGAGAGGTAGCTTCCCCGATGTAACTACTTCTCTCATTTCTTTTTTAGATGTGAAGTGGCCTTCAAACCGAGCAGTGTTAAAACCTGGCAGTTTTTGATTGGTAAGTTGAATGGTCTAGGCAAAATTCAGACTGTTTGTTAAACAAAACTTTAAATAACAGGAAAATCTGGGATTAATGGGATTAAAGGATAGAAAACACAATTAGTGCCAGTCAGGATGGTTTTATGGAACACAAGACATTATCAGACAAATGAGATTTAAGGTATTTGGACTCATGAGTCATTAAACTTAATTTTATATGGCTCTGTATTTCAAAAACTGTACTATGAACAGCTCTGAGGGACTGTATCCTACAAAGGACCAAGAAACTGTAATAAGAATAAGGAATTGACTTACCGTTTATTCCCTGCAGTGACATGCTGCCCAAAAAGTGGCAAATGTAAAAATGCTGTTTATGGAAGCAGAGCTGCACAGAGTAAAGAAGCAAAATGACCTGTGGCATTGGCAAAACCAGCACTGGAGGATCATATGCAGATCTTTTGCCATGTTTTAAAGGGTGTGTTGAAGTGCTGGAGGGGATTTATAAAAGAGCACAAGGATTATTTACCATTGCAGAAAATGCTTGACAGAGAAAGGTAGGCTTACAACAGCTCAGTCTGTTTAGTTTATCAGAGAAATGAGAGATGGCTTGACTACAGTATGCAATTATCTTGTAGAGAGGAAGCAGGCCATGTATATACAACAGAAAGCACACAGCTAGTTACCAGGGACAAGGGTACGTTCTCCATTTGTGAGGAATTCCCAGTCAAAATCAGATTCCTTACAGGGGGACATGCTCTGCTTAGAGAAGTTACCTGGTCTAGCACAGTCGATGAAGCTGAGTGGCCTGCCGCAGCCAGACACACTAGATCATCACTTGGCCTTAGCCATCGTGATTAGGCCTTGCTAGTCCCTGAATCCAAGGGAAGCCTGTCCCTGCACACACAGGGTCTCCAGGGTTACCTCCAGCAGGTAACAGCACCTGTCACAGGATATATTAACCATTCTCTACAATGTACCTACAAAATAATCTGAAAGCATTTCAGATTATTCTGAAAGTTTAAAAAACATACCTTCTTCTGTTTGAGCTTTACATTTTAAGGAAGAGCATATTCTGAACCAGCTGCAGGGAGTGAGACTTTGCAATCAGCACTTAAAATCCAGGCTCATTTTAGCATTATCATTTGGCATTGCCTAATGGTATTGCTAAATAAACCGCTGCTCTAAGGTTACAAGGGCAGCTTGTATGACACAAGGCCCAGGCAGGAGAAAATGCAACTCTAAAACCTGTGAAGTGATTTGAGGAGAAAATCTGAGCAGACCTGCCACAGCCACGTTCTTGTCATAAAAATAGGCCCTGTGGCAGGGACTCTTACCTAGACCTCCAGTCAACTCTGACTCCTTCTAAAAGTGTTTGCTGGGCTGGAGCTACTGTTCATGCGTTTTTGCCAGGGCAGAAGCTCTGCACTTTGCTTGATGAGAAACAGTGAAAGGAGAAAGAATGTTCCCTCTGTAATTTTCAACAAAAAGAGAAGTTATTTTACTGTGAACTTTAAATCACCATAGGACAAGCTTCTGCCTAAATCAGCAAGTGTCCTGGAAAATACCGAGAATCAGGCAGTAGGGGAAGAGATCCCCTGGCAAGGTCCTTCTTTGTGACTTCACTGGGAGGAAGCTTGCTGCCCACAAAAGAGCAGCCTCTCCTAAAATGAACACTGCAAGCTCTAGTCACTTAAAGTTTCTGAGTGAAAAACTGACCCTGTTGAAATCACAGGCCAACTCCTACTCACTTAAATGACTCTATGGAGACCTTGAGAGGCCAGACAAGCCATGCAGACATGAAGGTCTGCATCTGTATCAAAAATTCTTGTGAAACCAACAGCAGAGAGGATACTGGCAAAGCTGCGGAGGAATTTCCAGGGAAGACTATGCAAGCAGCAAACTGTTATTGCAAGACAACTCCTATTTCTCTCCCACTCATCTTTTTATTCCTCCTAAGGGACTATGCGAGAGGGAAAAACAGCACAGAAACTGCTAAGCCCCTTTTCCAAGTAGGTCTGGCCCAAGACCTTCCAGCAAAGGCATAAAACAGCAAGACAGATCTTACTGGGTCTGACCAGCGATCCAGCCAGCTGCCCTAGTATGCCATCAGCAGTCAAAGACACTATTTCAGGAGAGCATGCAAACCTGGCTACTAGCTGCAGTATACTCCCTGAGGATGGCTTGGCACCAATGGCCATTGGATTGGAGAGGTTATACAGTACATTTCCACCCATTCCTTTTAGTATTTTTTTATGGTCCTTTAAATTGTTATTTTTTCCACTCCCCTTTTGAGCCAATTGACACTGTTATCCTCCACAACCTTCTGCAGCAGCTTCTAGTAGTTCATCATTCACTATGCAAAGAAGTACTTTCTATTATTTTTGTTAAACTGCTCTTTCCTTAGTTTCCGTGCCCTGCAGTTCTGGCATTGCATGAGTTAGCAAACAGCAGTTCTGTATCTGTTGTTTGCTATTGACTGCCTTCACAATTTGGAAAACATCACTCACATGCCCTCCTCCTTCAGAATTCTCTCTCCAAACTGGAAAGTCCCAGGCATTTTCATTTTTCCCATTTTTCAGTCCTCCTCTATATCTTTCCTAACAATCCTTCTTGTAATATAGATACCAGAACTATACCCAGCAGGCAAAATGCGTGTGCACCAAAGTTTTGCACAGCAGAAAAATCATGCTTTCTGGTTTGCTCACAAGATAGCATTGAGACAGGCCTGACATTATTCTGAGTAAATATGCCTGGCACCACCTCCAATAAATTTATGTCATGGGCCTGTCAAAGCTCTCCTCCTCCTCTGTCTTCAATCTTTTCTTCACCCTCCTACTTGCATGCTCACATTCCTCCAAGCCAAGTCCACATTGCTTTCCCATTTTTCTGCTACACCCCCACTTTCCAAGCCTCCCTTTCTCAGTGTAGAGAGGCGCAGGACCCTGGAGGCACTGATTTACTGTGCACAAAGCACTGCTGAACATGCCATGAAAAAGATACAGAAGATCTGCTCCACTGCCTCATCCCACAGCTAGCTGCCAAGAGACATCTGCATTGGTACTGCTGTTGGGGACAGCTGTTACTGCTTGTACAATGTCAAGAAACTCTTTTCACATATCTCTGCTTGACCTTGTCGGTGCACCTTGCTGTGCCTACCACAGTGGCTGAGGGCTGCTGAGACTGGGTGCACTTCAAAGTTCCAGCCCCTGTCCCTGCACTTCCCACAGCCTCGCCTTCAGTGCTGAACATCGCCAGCCAGATGAGCCAAAGCAGCACTGCCAACCAGGAGAGCAGACATATGGGAGAACACCATCAAACTCCACCCCTCCTCCTCCCTCATGCCTCTGCACAGAGAGCCCACTATTTTCATGGCCATTTTGCCAACACTGGAGAGAGCATGTGGCGAAAACAGGCACTAACCAGGGTGAAGCACGCAGGCACCAGCCATCTATTACGAGGAAAGATGTCAGGCAAGTGGTTTAGTTTTCCACAGTGAGCAGCTTGGGAAGGGCATTTCTTCAGGAAACAACTTGATCACCATGCCTGAGGCTGCACAGATTTTCCCTCTCCCCCTTGCTTCTGTCTTTGCAGCTAGGGCTTCCCATGATACTCAAATCAGCCAGTTGCTAAGGGTAGTGGTTTTCACTGGTTCCTTCCACAGGAACATATATTCTGACGTGATCTTAAGCAAGAATCACTAGGGCGATCTAGTCAAGGAAACCTACTGGTAGTTCTATTATTGGCAGCTTATATTCTAAATGAAGGGTCTGATTCGGCTCATCATGAAGTAACAGAACTCTGAACTTTGATTAAGCCTTACAAAAACACTACAGCTGTCCTACAACTAACTAGGCTATATTCCCAGACACTTTCCAAGTAATGTTTAAAATAAAATGTTTCACAAATAAGTCTTAATCTCAATTAATTAGAACTGAACTCCCCAGTGACTGTGTAACTTCATTGAAGGTCCAGACTTCATAGCAGTACGAGTGAGAAGAGAACATTTTCCAAACGTTACCACAAGCAGACAAATTATATTTAAAACATTCACCTGTAGAGTAATACAAAATAAAATATCACCCGATCAGCTCACATAAAGCTGATTTATATCTTTGAATTAACATTTCTCTGTACAGTTGCAGTAAGACTGCAATTTTACAAACTGACATTCAGTTGAAGATACTAACAACACAAATTATACACTATGTACAAACCTAGTTCTCCAAGGAACTCTTTGTTCAGCATGCTTCAATACAGAAGTGATTTACCCATTTCTAGGACAGGACGCTTTCTTTTCCTTTAATTTAAATACTGAAATAATTATCAAGACACCAAAAAAATCCATTTGTTATCACATGGCAGTATTCTTAAGTCACTTGTTTGTTACCATTCATTATAGAGTAGAACCAGTCACAACAATAAATAACATCGCTTATCACGAACTTAAGGCTTATATTCATGTGATCACACTTTCAGCCTGAGTGCTTTTACAAGACTGTAGGATCCATTTATCTTTGCTTTTCTTGACACGTAGATCAAAATTGCAGCTACAGGTACTGCTACTGCTGTTACACTGGAGAATGCAATAATCAGTGGTATCATTTGATCTGGTTTTTCCAATCTTCCTGAAAAGAGAAGCAAACAGAGAAAAAAGTTGTGTACAAATTCATTGAAATAGATACATGTGTGTCACTGTAAAAGCAGTGTTATTAATAGATTTCATTTGGAACACTACTTATGTTTTCATGCACAAAACATACTTAAAAATGCTTCTCTTACACTTTTTTCTTTAGTAATTCCATATTATGCACTTTAACATCTAGCCACTATCTTGGTCTTAAATTTGCTATGGAAGTTCAAATCCATCTGACATCATTGACAATGAAGAATAGCATGGAGTTCATCAAGAATGCAAGAAGAACAGCATGTATTTTACCCAGGAAGCATCTGGGGACAATTCTACCTTCTGGAAACAACACTTCAGAAGACCATGTTTAAAAAGCCAAATCTTTAGATATTCTTTGTGAAACAGAACTTTCTCTGGATTAGTCTCACTGTTCATGCACATGGACAGAAATGCAGCCAGGATCCACCTTGTTCTGGCCCTATACGTAAAGGTACTGCACCAAGTCAGGTGAGAGAGACAGTAACATCCACACTTAAAGGAGGGTAACTGTGGCTTATTCTCACCAGCTGTTCTATTATTTGGTTTGATTTGGTGTTTTGGGTTTGTTGTGGGGTTTTTTAGGTTATCTGCAGTATTGTGCAAGGATCAGCCACGAACTAGCTGTGCTCACCTTGACACAAAGTTGATTACAAAGAACAAAGAAAAGAAGTTGAAGGCAATAGATCTACCTACCTACAACACCTATCTCAATCACTTTGATCTTGTTTCCAACCTCATTGAAAACATCAAGCAAATATCTGCCTGTATCATTTTTGGTGACATTGTAGAGTATAAATGTTCCATTCACTGATGGCAAAATAATTTCTTTCTCCTGATGGACTTTTTTCAGGACCATCTGTGCTGGTGGGTTACTGTATGTGCTACATGTAATAGTGACATTTTCTCCTTCTTTAACATTTTCTGACGGATATACTAGCACAGTAATATTTTGAGGAGGAACTGAAAAGAAAAGAAATGCAAGGTAAGATTTAGCAACAAACAGAAGCAAAAAACTCATGAGGTATCAGCATCCTGTACTAATCCAGTTAATGGAATCACTATAATATTCAGGCACACAGCTTTAGACACTGCTCTGCCACCAGCAGAGACACTGCAGTCAACAGCAGCTGACGTAAAGAACATTTTATCAAGTGACAGAGTATGCTGCATATCTTTTACATTAAATGGAGCCTTTTCTTCTTTTCTTATTTTAAATTTACTGTTTATTCATTTGAGTCCATGAAAGGACACAGACCAACAAGCCTAGATGTCCTCTTTCAACAGAAGAGAAACACAGAGGGCAAAGGAAGGAGTCCTAGAGCAGTAGTTTTTTCACTAAGTTCCACAATTTTACATCCTGTTTTCAAACGTGGAAGTGGAACTATGAAAAAATTTGAAGCAGCAATTATTTTGTGCATCTGTGGTTTTGGACAAAAGTTTTCACTAGCACTAAGATGCTACACTTATGACAAGAACCTCTGCAACTTGTCTCATCTTTTTTAAAGATGATTCATTCTTAATGGTATTCAAGTGAAGATGTCTTTATGTCTAAAACAAACTCTAATATTAACTCTGTACCGTAGTTATTTTAACCTTTGACATAAATTACTGTGTGCTCTCCCACTTGTTAACAATATGTATTCATATACTCCTGTGTCCTGAGCCCTGTCTAAGGTATATTTGCCATCATTGTTTCAAGGGTTGTGATCTCATCACCTTTTTTTTTTTCACAGATGTAATATCTGCAAATGTGCAGGAGACGGTAACACTTTCTCCATGTATCACTGCACTTGAAGGGAAAACTGGAAGTGTTTTTTTTTGGTGCAGCTACAAAAATATTAGAGAGTAAGGAAAGGAGATGGATTAGTGGCAGAAGTGATCATTAAGCACACACCACTGCCATACAATAAACAGAAGCAGCAACGCTAAAGTGTCTGCTTGCTGCTGCTATTACTACTGTTGAGGCTGTGCTATCATTGCATGTAGGTTGAGAAAGAAGCATTTGGTACAGATTAAATGCAGTTTGTGAGAACAGGATAGAGAGTCAAGGAGAGCCAAGGGCCTGTAACACAGTCCCTCCACAGAGAAGTTTCAGCCTGTACTTTCTCTTCAAATCTTTTGTATGCAGGAAGAAAATACAGGCACTGAATAGCTTCTTTGCCTCACGCTACATTTGCCAAGTGGAAGGAGAGATGGAAGCTCAAATGACATGAGAACTTTGCATAAGCTATCTGCACTGAGGCAGATTTCACTGCTCCTTGGTTAAAGCTTCCTAAATAACTTAATGGCATAAGGGCTACCTGTACACTCTGTTGACATCAAAGACAGAATTCCCCTGCCCTTCAAAGAATGAGATCTGGACCTAAAATACATAAACCAAGAAATTTGTGTCCTGTCTTGTTCTACTAACCTTGAACAAGTAGCGTCACAGCTTTTTCGTCTTTGCCAAATTGGTTATAAGCTTCACACTGGTAAAGGCCCAGATCTTCACTTTTTACGTTCTGTATAGTTAAAGTTGCACCTTCAGAAATTTCCTCAGACTCCCCAGTGGCCTTCTTTTTCTTCCAAGAGATCACTGGAGCTGGATTACCAGAACTGGTACATTTCATCGTCACAGTCTCTCCTTCTTTAACAGCAGTAGCAGGAATAACAGAGACCATCGTATTTTTTGGTCCATCTGAAAGGAAGAATCCTGTAGTTAATCATCACTGGATTTTTTAACAATGGATCCAACATGTCTTACTGGACACCAGGTTGTTGGCCTCCCAAAGTTAATTTCTTTTTCATTCTCAGAATAAGTAAAGCACACAGTATCAGAGCTTCCATGCAAACTGCCTATAGCCTAAACATACCTGTGGATACACTTTACAGTTGGCTGTGCTTGCAGTACTGCGTTGCAGAATTAAGACTTTCGTCCTTGAGCTCTTTTCTAAACAAGTACATAACTCTTGCTTGCTAATTATGAAAAGAGACCCTGACCAGCTGAATATAGCTCATGTTGGGAGTTTCTCCATGAGAATGGACAGATAAGAGGCTTCTTGTACACAAGATATGCATGGGAGTGAATGGGAGAGTATGATCAAAACAGATCTGGGAAAGTCTGTTCTCCCTGTGTGATTAGAGTGTGACTGGAGGAGTACATGAGCTAATAACAACCCTGGCTGCATAGTCTGGTCTCTTGTTTGTAACCCACAAATAGTGCTTCTTGCTAAGAAGTATAAATATGTGTGTCTGCCTGCAATAAAGCGAATTCCATTTTCCACCATCTCGGAGTTCGTGCGTGCTTCTCCACACATACCAGCCAAACACCTCCAACCAAAGCCGTGAAGAAGGTAGGTCAGTTTCTCACTCATTCAGATCCTGACTTTAGACTGTCATTACATTAAAGATTTCATGTCTTTGTTTTGCGCATCAGCACTGCTTCTCTCTTTGAGGAAGAGCAGAGGACTATGCTGATTGTTCTGTACTCACAGCATTTTGTTTGGTTTGATGATTACATTTATTACTGAGGTAAGGGGAGATTTAACTAACTATTTATAAATGATCGGGAAAACATTGCACATACTTACATTCCACATTAAGTGTTATTTCACTTTTACTTCTCCCAAACTTATTTTCTGCTACACATTCATAGTCTCCTCCATTTAGGAATGTCACAGACGGAAGAAGAATTCTTCCCTCACTGTAAAGCCCCAAGTCTGCACTGTCAGATTTTCTCCTTAAAATAATCTTGGGAGGTGGGTTACTCTCAGCAGAGCATTGTATGGAGACATTTTTTCCTTCTTGAACTGTCGTAGAAGGCTCAATGGAGAGTTCTGTAATATTTGGAGCACCTGCATGACAAAATAAAAGGCTGTTATTTTAATGTGAAAGTACCAAAATTGGAGAGGGGTTTAAGAAAGCAGAAATTGCTTGCCCAAGGATCTGTTAATTTTGATTTTGGTCCCAGGCTCCACTGGAGACTTCTGACTCTATTAAAATAGTAGTAGTAGTAGTAGTAGTAGTAGTAGTAGTAGTAATAATAACACTAATAATAATATCCCAAATAGTTTCACTATTAAATGACTACTAAATTTACCACTAATGACTAAACCTACTAGTTCTAAGGCAGAGACTGTGATGTCCCTGTGAAATTGCTATGTACATTACCATTTCAAGGAAATAATAATGTGCCACACACCACCATTTTCTCAGATTCTTTTATCACTGAATCATTGCAGGAAATGTATAGAGGTATATACATACAATAGCAGTACAGAGACAATTAGCTACAAAATAAACATAGTAATTAAAAGCACAGCCCATGAAGAGCAGTGGTCAATTGAAAGCTAAATCCTGAATACATAACAAAGAAGGCCCTGTAATTTCCTAATTTTCAGTGTTTCAGCATCCTTCAATCCAACAGGCAGCTCCCAGTTGGGTACTGGATAATACGAGTTAAATTCAAGCAGACTTGTACCTTGTATCACAATGTCCACAGTTGCTTTCTCTGTTTTATTAGTTACCAAATTAATTACTTCACAGATGTACAGGCCTGAATCAGTGAAATGGGTACGGGGAATAAAAAAGGTACTGTTTTCTATCAGATGCTGAATGCTCTCATCAGCCAGCTGTTTCCTCCAAACTATTTGTGGTGGTGGATTACTCTCAGTCACACAAGTGAGTTTTAGAGGGTGTTCTTCCATTGTTGAGGTGCCTGGATATGCTGTAATGACAGTATTTTGTGGGCCAACTGGAAGAGAACAAAAGAGAGATAAGGTCAGTAAGTTAATGAAGAATGATATACACCTCTTTAATTTCTCTAGAGGTACATTTCACACAATACCAAGAAAAAATGAATAATGCATATCTGGTAACAGTGGAACATTTTTTCAGACTTCATAAAACATTTGGCTTGCAGCTGTGGAAGTTAAGCTAGACAAAATGTGTACAAATTATTTTTACTCTTACAGGTCTCCCTGTTATTTAGGGCCATAAACGTGGAACTGCTAAGCATACAATGGCAATTTTGAAAATATTTGTTTATCTGCATGCTGCCATTTTTCTTCTGGTCTTGACTTTCTTGTTGAGCACCAGTGCCCAAGGAGAGACAGTGACAGAGACATTACTAAAGCATTGACTAACTTCCGCCACGAACAACATCAGGCGTTTAATGACTCAATGACTGTTACTGAACACAACACAATTCAGCTGAATACTACACGTTATCTACAGAAATAATACAGAAAAAAAGTGCAGATTATAAATGACTTGTAGTGTGAAAGTCCTAGAATAACAATACTTACAGTTTGCATTCAGTTTCTGAGAAGCAACTCTTTCTTTGGGTTCAAAGTCCATATCAGCAATTGGTAACATAGCCACACAGGAGATCTCTTTCCCAATATCTTCAGCCGTGGGATAAAATGAATGTGTCACAGTTTTGCTCTCTGTGTTTGTGCTGTCATCTTCAAAAAAATTCTGCTCATGAAGAACTTGTTCCTCTTTCTTTATGAGTACTTCCAGGCGATTAGCAGGATATACATCAGGAATTTTGCAGACGATGACGAGTGGTTCTCCAGCAACTAAGGACGATCTGATCTCAATGATAGGATCACTGGGGAAAGCTAGAAGAGTAACATCAATTTCTTTAGTCTATCAGAGATGAACTCTAGGGCCAGCATAAGAGCAAGGTCCAAATATCAAACATCTTGAGTCTAGAAGCATTCAGAACATGACATTATATCAAATTTATTACAAGACATAGCTTGACATGAAGACATACAGATCTTTTATAAGCAGTTCACATATTTGCACAGTTGTTGAAATATGATGACAAATTATCTAATAAGATCAAGCAAGGCACCTAGGCGATGATACAGCTGCCTAAATACAGGCATCCAGAGCTGTCCATACACTGGTGGTATCCTGTTTTCTGTGCTGGCAGATTTAGATATCAGAATAATTTCCCTGCAAACTACAACGGCATCCATCTCAGCCATATTGGTTGGTTGTTTCTTTTCTGCTCTACAAACCAGACTCCCCATAACATTCAGCTTTCAAGAATTACCAAGAATAAGAATAAATTAGACAAGTATGTACTACTTCAGCGCAGAAAGCTAAGCAGAAAGGGGCTCACAAAGAGTCCCAGACAGACACATAGAGGAATCTTGAAAGGAAATACATGCTGAGTTATAGCAGTCTCATTATTCTAGCATTATCAGCTAGCTACTAGCCATCTAAAACAAATTATTGAATTTTTACAACTGTGTACTACTTAAAGAGAATTTTACATTTTTACTTACAGTAAAGTTCAACTTTGACACTCTTCTCTTTTTTCTCTTTCTCACCACAGAAGACAGTACACAGATACGAATGAGAATTCACAATGCTAACTGGATTCATTGTCAAGGTGGAGTATGTCCTTTGTTTGTCCACTGTTCCTCCAAGGGGGCTATCTATCTGGGTTCTCCAGGAAAAACTTGGTGATGCACAGCCAGTAGTATTGCATGTGAGTACGAGTGTTTCTCCAATCTGTGCAACAATTCTTCTAGCAGGTACAATCTCCATTTCAAAAGCTTTCACTATAATAATAAGAAAATACACAAGCTCAGCAGCATTCTCAACATTTACTTTACCATTTCTTCTCATGTTCTGCTGTGACATGAGGTGATTACTTTGCAAGTTTGCTTTACAGTCATGTGGAGGTTAAACTACTAAAGCTTATACAGTGGTTGACATCTCCAAAATGTCAAAAAGATAATGCAGACTCAGGTGACTCTAACAGACGGTTTCCACTGCCTGTTTCCAATGGCATAAACCCAGCGCTGTCAGGGAAAATAAAGGCATTGGCACAATATAACTTTTTTTTTTTTGGTCAAGTGGATCTGGTTCTAAAAACTTTGTAACATTTGAGGGGAGGGGTGGCAAGTAAGATAGCAAGGACAACTTCAGTATCCCTTTCAACAGGACAATTAGTACCCAACCACACTGATACTGTCCGGGATGACAGTAAAAATCAAACATGCACTGATACACTGCAGTTATCTCCTGGACTGTCTTTTAGCACACTCAATAACAATATGACTGTGTCATTGCAGAGCACAGAAAAGCTCAAAGAAAATGTCAAAAAAAAAAGGAGCTTTCTGACATATTGACAGAACTACTTAATTGACGTATTCTCTGAAATGTAAAAGCAACTGGAACAAAGAGAAATAAAGGTCAAGTAGTAAATCGTAGGTCAGTTCACTCTTTACAAAATTAAAAACAAATAAAGCAAACACCCCCGTCCCCAACTTACCAGTCTTTAACACATACAAAAGCATTAGCACAGTTTGGCTTGCTCTTCCCATCTGTTTTAACATTTGTGGTCGCTGTTACAGAGCAGAGAAAGTAAATTCAAAAGCTTTGCTTTCTATTTGCTGTGAAGAAAGCTCAGTGAGGTTCTGCTGCTCTGCCCCAGTTGGCTAGCCCAGAGCCAGCAGCGCTTTATAAAGGTTCTCCTGCAGGCGGAGGGAGTGGGAAATCCCGGCCGGCCGGGGAAGTCCAGCGCGGGGAGGCAGAGCCCCAAGGCGGGCTCAGAGCCAGGCGGGGAGGCAGAGCCCCAAGGCGGGCTCAGCGCCCTCTGCCGCGCCCGCAGCAGCTGACCGGGGAGACACGAAACACCAGCCCCCGGCCTCGGGGCGGAAAAGCCCCAGTCGAGATCCGATCCCGAGGACAACTGGTAAAATTACAGAATGTGGGTAATGCCGAGTAACTGAATGGCTCTGTGTCTCGGAGGGAAAACTTACTGAACTGCGCTTTATGTGCAAATATTTTTGTAGGGCTGAGTCTTGAGACTCCAGCAAAGCTCAGCTCTGTAGAAAATTTTCTTTGAGTCGGTATTCCCTCTGAAACTGCACTACTAGTTTAAGTGAAGTTAATGTTACTCACATTCCTAAGAATTTTTGATCCCTAAAAGTGAAGAAATAAGTCAGATAACAAGGCTGGAGATCCAGCTTAATGGGCTTAAAGTAGGCTCAACGTGTTCAGATGAGCTGAAGGAACTAATTTTACCAATTCCACTTCAAAAATGTCTCTAAAATGTCCCTCTCTCAAGATGCTACTGGTATGCATGACATAACTGGTGTGACTCTCAGATCTTTTATGTCCTGTTTATGTATAATTCATAATCTGGGATTATTTTCAGCATTTGGTTTCCACTGGGTATATGAATCCAGTTTGGACTATTTCCAAAGACAGCTATTACTGGCTAATACTGCAGCAATGTTATGAAAAAAATAAAATCACATTTTCAGTGTTTAATTTTCAATTGGCAAATGCTATGAATGAAAAGAAAGGATAAAGTTTTCCAAATCTCAATTGTTTATTTACTCAACTACTTCAGTAGTTCATATTGGTCAATTATGAATCACTAAATATAAGCAGCAAGAAATTCAAAACAAAACATGTGTGTTTTTAAAATGCCTCTGGCAAATCATTTGGTATGTAGACATATGATGTCTATGAAATTTTGTCATAATATAGTACATTATATAAACAATACAGATTCAAACATCTAGCAAATCTATAATAACTTGGAAGGCTGAAGCAATAATGTTGTAAATGCTAAAGAAATACAATTGCTGAAAAGCTGGCACTGCATCCACACAGTACTTTTTGAGTCAACCAGGTTTTACAGTTAATAACCTAATGCCACTCCAAATTACCATGTTCAGGTGAGTGTAGTAAAAGCAGACATAAGGCTCCCCCTGGCCTACAGGCAGCGTGTCTTCTGTAGAAACTATTTTTGTCTGCTTTTTCCCTGACTGCAGCTGCCCTTGGATTTGCATCATCAGCAAAGGAGAGCTGGACAGTACAAGCTGCTACAGCAACATGCTAGGTAAAATAAAAAGCACCGACTCACAAATATAAAAGGGATGTAAGGACTGTGGGAAGATAAAATGGTGATCTCGGGCAGAAAGTATGAAATCAAAATTACAATAAACAATAATAACAAAAATATTCAGAAACATGAAATCCAAATCCAAAGCACCCAGTAATGCCTAACCAGAAGTCGCTAAAGCTGAAAATCACTGAAATGGCCACAGTGGATTCTCTCACAATATATTACTTTTACTATCACATCATTGTTTTTATGAGGAGGAGGAAATGGAAGCAGAGCACTGTTCTGGAAGTACTGTTATCAAATCCAGAAACCCCAAACGTATCCAGAGCAGGTAACACCACCTACAGATTTTATTTCACAGAAAAGGGTTTTGCTGAAGAGACATGTCCTCTCTTAGTTAAGTTGCAAATAAATAGGCAGAGAGAAGCAAGGAATGAAACTCTTCCACTTTGACTGCTTAAGTCATTATAGGCTAAGCTGAAAGAGAAAAGGCAAAATTTCCTTATTTCTGGGAAATCAGTTTCTAGGCACAAAAAGATATAAACATAGCAGGCCATATCCGCATGCTGGAAAAAATTGTAATCATGTCCTTCATCAGATAAGATGAAATAGGAAATAACTGATCCAGCTCTCAGTAAATTGAACTGGACAGCTGCCATTAACTTTACTGGAGTTGGATCTCTACCAGGACTACTATACTGAATGATCAGGCAAATCTGAATCAGTGTAGGTAAGAGCAAAGTTAGCCAACAAATATTATTAAAAGAAGTACAGATCTGTCAAGAAATTAAAAAAAAAAATCTTAAAACATGCTCTTTGCTCAACTTCAAATGTGAGCCCTCTATGTATTTTAAAAAGAACGTGTACTTTACTCTTGCTCCCACTATCCTCAGCATCAAACTGCAAATAGGAAAATGGGTATCAAGTTTGCTTATTTTCAGAACTGGCTGTTCTGTCTGAAAACAAATAGATATCAGCTGACAAGCTTTAGCAGTTGTCCTCAAGAGTTCAGCTAATCTAGCTTTTTATTTAAATTGCACAGAGGAGGATGCTGGGGATAAAAATAGAGGATGCATCTAGATCCACAGTGAGATTCAAGTATTATAGGATCAACCAGAAGAAATCTTGACACATGCAGAGCATAATGAAGACTAGGATGTAACAAGTATTACAAAAATATTACTAAAGGCAAAAGAGATTAAAAGAATTAAGCATTGGGACATAAATACATGTTTTTCAATACACCTAGTAATCAAAAGAGACTTTTCTCAAGCTTTGATGGACAAACAAAGATTAAACAATTGTGCGTCTCAGAAGGGAGTTTGGAAATACTGAACACGTCATTTTTGGCCCAGCATCAGAAGACACAAATGTCTGTCAGGAAACTGAGCTTACTTCATTTTTTTCCAGAATGAAAGAAAACGAAACCATTTCAGAAGTGTGCTAAGCATTTGCTGTAACTTAAACTTCTACCGCCCTGCTAAATATCTATATGATGAACTTCAATTAATTTTCTCTAGACAAAAGAGATAACAAGTTCTTGACACCTTAATGAATTACTTGAACAAAATGCATGTTATCCAACATGTTAGTTATCCAATATTTCTAACCCTCTTCCTGCATCTTTAATGTACTGCACTGTCTCATGGAGCCTATTAGTGGAAAGGCGAAAGGGTAAACCAGATGCAGAGTCTGGTCTCTTCAAACCTTCACCACTGGTTTTGTGATTTATGGACAAGGACCTATGGAGAAGGGGGCTAATCCTTCTCTTTCGGCAGAGGAGATTTTTTAGAAAAAAAAGATAGAAGGAAACTCAACTAATTTGATATTCTGTTTCCTGTGTCAGCAACAAAATGCTTCATGGCACTTTATCCCAATATCTGCTCCTATAGACACCATTTGAGATTTCTGCTAAAAAATACCCAATGCTACAATTGTAACTTCTATACAGGGCCCCATACAGAAACATACGCAAAACATTTATTATTAAGCATCTTTGTGTCCTATCAGGTTGAGAGGGCAGAATGCTTCTGTGGAAGGCATGGCATTCAGGTGAGAAGATGCAGCTACACCTGACCCAACAATTCTTCAGCCTCAGATCACAGAGGTATTACAGCAAGTTCACACTTAGGTCCCCCATTCAAACTGTAGCCCTCACTCATGTCATGGAAGATGTCTTGGGATGGGTACTGGATGTCTGAGTATAAAAAAGCCTCTTAGAGTTTCTGATGCTTTACAGAAGCAGCTGGACTGAAGAGCTTTTTTCACCCTACGCAAAGAGTGTCTGATACCTCCACAGTATGATCATGCCTAAAGAAGAAAAGTGAGATGAATGTGCTGTAACTCAAATAAGAGCTTGGTCAAGTAACTGAAAAAACATGAGCCTGGAGGACATGCAGGCATACTGCTGACTACATGGCTTATACAGCAGATAAGATCTGCCAACCTCAAAATTTTCAGTCCCTGGCAGCCATAATAGCCTGCTATATAGGTTATATACTGTCTTTTCATCTTCAGTGCCTACTGGCTTTTTGGCTCCCAGAAGTTCCCTGACTCGTTGCTCTCCCTAACTCCCTCCACCTTCTTTCTTACCACCTGACAATAATACAACCTCTATATAGCCCCTAAGAGAAGGAGGAGAGCATCACTGACTCCCTATAATTTTCATCTCCACATGGGAAGAATGAGATCTACGTGCAGATCTATTTAAAGGGTTGTGTCTGTTGCAGGAATTGTAACTTTGTTCCTAGCTACAAAAAGAACA